AGCCCTGCGCTGGACTCTCTCCAGTAGCTCCTCATCTTTCTTGAACTGGGGAGCCCAGAACTGGACACAGTACTCCAGATGAGGCCTCACCAGGGCAGTGTAGAGGGGAAGGAGAACCTCCCTCGACCTGCTGGCCACACTCCTCCTAATGCACCCCAGGATTCCATTGGCCTTCTTGGCAGCCAGGGCACACTGCTGGCTCATGGTCAACCTGTTGTCCACTGATGAGCTATGAATGCCTCTTAGCAGCTAGTGTGTGCCTTGCTGAGGAGGATACTTTTTACTCATAAAATCACATTTCTGTACTTAAGCAGGCATCGTACTCTTTTATGAGCCCAGTTTCTAAGGAGACTAGGCTTAAGCAGTCCTGCTCTCTCTCTCCCCTACCTGTAGTAGTTTTTTAACCTTCTGGGTACTTTGAACCAGATACAAAGGAACAGGAGGGGGTTCACAGATATTAAATTACTGGAAGTTTCATGAAACTTGATAGCTGTATGGTGCGGAGACTTAATTTGGTGCTGCCACCAAGAGAGAGGCTGAAATACCTACTCAGCAGCTACCTGCTCAGCAATTACCTCTTCTGCTTGGCTCAGACAGTGGCCAGGCAGCAGATGTGATTTGTCAAGCCTAGGCTGAGCTGCTGCGTGGCTAGGTGATCATAAAGGCACATGAAACAGAGCTCAGGTTTGGGGAGATGTGTAGAAAAAGATGATGTGGGTTTGAAAGTTTAATGAGACTCAGGTACTGGAGGAGGGTCGGGGAACACTGGGAGAATCTTGGATTTTTGAGGAGGCTTTTGGAGATGTGAGAGATCAGAAGATACATATGGTGGAGTGATCATGGAGGGAGATCATAGAATCATAGAATTATAGAATGGTTTGGGTTGGAAGGGACCTTATAGATCATCTAGTTCCAACCACCCTGCCATGGGCAGGGATGATTTGGGAGAGGTGAGATTATTGCAATAGGAGCATATACACATAAATTAATAGGAGGTCAAGCTTTATTAGTTCAGTTCCTTGTCAAACAACTTGTTTCATACTGTTTTTTGAATATTTTGTAGTGATTTTTTTCTTCTAATGAATATGAGTCGTTTTGAATGATAGGCAAATGATGCAGTGATACACAACACTTTTATACACAATTATTGTCATACTTCATTCCCAGCACTCATCTTCCTGTTTTGTGCAAGCAAGCACCTTCAAAAAAATGTTTAAGAACAAAGAAGGTGCAGCACAATAATAAGAAGTACCCTAGTCTGCATTGCTTTTTAGAAGAAAAACAGCACTACTGGTGAGATGAAGTTAGCAGAAGTACAGTACGAGAACTAGATTTCATTTCTTTCTGTAATATATCTAATTATATCTATATCTGTAACACAACTACTGATAAACACATCTGGTATGGACTAGGTATTCCTGGAAAGGTTAAACTTATCAAAGAGAGAAAAAATGTGACAATTTATCAAATTCCAGTAATAATATTAATGGATTCATATTAATTCAGGTAAATTTTTGCTTCATTTTTTCAGATTTTTCTTTGCTCATCTGTAAAACAGAGGAAATAAACAGGGTTCACCAAGTCATAAAGTCTTGTGCCCTTCATCTACAAATAGCTTCCTATTACCTTGAAATAAACTAGCTGAGTTAAGAATATGTAATACAGTTTGATCTTCTCTGATGCAGAGAAGCCCGGACAAGTCATATCTCCTTGTAAGGCATTACCTATTTTGAAAGCGCTCTACTCAGTTGATGCAGAAAAGGCTTGCCTTGGAGTAATCACTCTTCAAAGTTTATGTTCTGCTTTTTTCTCTCTTGCTTTAGTAGTTGTTATTAATATTTTGCATCAGGAACACCACGAGACAAAAATACCAGCAATCCTGGTTTTTTAAGTGATATTAGGAAAAAAATCACACTTTCTCATGAACAGTTTCTGTGTCGCTTTAAAAAATGGGATTGACTTTTTTTAAAACAATAATAAAAACCAGGCCTGATCAGCTGTATTTATTGTTTGATTTATTTCATCCACTTAAAACTTAACTTGTAGATGCAACATAACCTTCTAATCCAAGGACCAAAAATTATGGCTGACATGGTTTGATAGCCCAGAACTTCTGTAGCAGGTAAAATAGGAAGCAGGCTCCTAAAAAAATTTTTTTACCATAAGCACTCTCAGAGTGATGTTCATTCCATTGTTCACGGAGGAATAACAATGTATAACTGCAGATCTACAATGTATTAGCTTCTCTTTTTTTTCCCCCCTTGTTCCTTTTTTCTTTGAAGTGCAAATACGACTTTTGCTGGATATGCTTAGAAGAATGGAAGAAGCACAGCTCTTCCACTGGAGGCTACTACAGGTGCACTCGCTATGAGGTTATTCAACATGTAGAGGAACAGTCCAAGGAGATGACAGTAGAGGTAACAAATGAATGTGTGTGTTTGAAAAATAGAGCTAAGACTGCAATTTTCTGTTTAGGATAAGTGTAATCAAAATTCTTCCAAACTCGAGTTCTAAATGGAAAAAGACAACCTTAAGTATATCAAAGAGCCAGAAAGAAAACACTGCTTATTTGTGGACAGAAACATAAGATTTGGTTCTGCTTTTGGCTTTGGTAACAACCGCTGGTTGGCTGTACTCAAGTCATTTTACTTCTCCGTGTCGTAGTATGGTTTTGTGAAATGGGCGTGCTGGTACTTTAATTAGCTGCTGTGTGCTACAGAAGACTTGCTTTAATTTTGGGATTTGGAAAGCCTGCTTAAATAGCATGCACACACAGCATATCAACTTTTTGGTTACAGTATTTGAAGACTTGTGAATTTCAAAAATTACATTTGTCTCTTTACTTGCATGGCACTGTGCAGCATTGTGTACAATACTTCATGAACAGTGGGACTAGAAACGGTTATATAATTATATTAAATGGTGATTGCTGAATTAACTCATAAGATTTATCTTGGTTTCTTTTGTTTCCCCATTATTTTGCAGGCTGAAAAGAAGCATAGAAGATTTCAAGAGCTTGATAGGTTTATGCACTATTACACAAGATTTAAGAACCATGAACTTAGCTACCAGGTGTGGGTCAAGCTATTTTTACTGATTTTTCTTTCTGTTTTACTCATCCAAAAATAATTAACTTATTGTATTTCATTTATTTTCTTTTTCTAGTTAGAACAGCGCCTTCTAAAAACAGCCAAAGAAAAGATGGAGCAGTTGAGTAGAGCTCTCAGTGGAAGTAAGTATTTGCTGTGATCTATGAATTTGATTTGAAATCAAATCTACCCTTTTATGGCTAAGCCTTTTTTTTTTTTTTTGATAAAGCTTACATCAGTCTGCTGTTAGATGCAATCCCTCCAGTATTAGAATTCATAAGCAGTGGATGAAAGCTAAATGTACAGTAAATCTTATATATTCCAAAGACTCAAAGAGAAAGTAGCATTAGTAAGGGAGAAGCTAATAGTCTGTGCTTACTTCTTTTAGGAGGAACACTGTGTAGTCATTGAAAACCTGCTGCTGTTTACTTGCAAAATATTTAACATGACACGCGCATAAATTTTATTATTTTGCTCTTACAGCTGAGGGAGGCTGTCCTGATACCACATTCATTGAAGATGCAGTACAAGAGCTTCTAAAAACTCGCCGCATTCTCAAGTGTTCTTATCCATATGGATTCTTTTTGGAGCCTAAAAGCACAAAGAAAGAAATATTTGAACTTATGCAGGTAATACATGCATATATTTTGCTTTTCTAATGTTACTTTTTTCTTGTAATATTAGTTATCAGTGTCTTTTTTCTGTTTTTGTAGTGTAAAACTGATATACCTGCTTTGTATTTGTAACCAGGCTTAGAAAATTAATGCATTTTTATTCCTTTGTGACACAGTAGCTTTTAGTTCAATTTTAGAATGAATGAAAAACAACACTTTGCTGCAAGAGGACAGGGATAAGGACAGGTGGAAGGGGAAAGAAAGAAAATTATTTACTGTTAATCTGCTTTCTGAGGGTAACATTTTAGCTTCAGTCTTCATCTCCTTCTCTAGCTCGTCTTTC